TTCGACTTCTTCATCGCGTGTGGAAGTACGACACAGACGGCAGCGGAACGACGAGACCGTTTCCAGGTCGCTGCTATGGAGGGCGACGCAGAGGGTAGACGTGATGTGTTGACTCCTCGTGAGCTGCAGGCCATGGCGACGGCCGTGTCCACGATCGTTCTTCGATGTCGGCAGGAGAGGGCGCTGGGGCGACTGAAGGAGCAGTTGCGCGCGCGTAGACGGAGGAAATTGACGCAAGATCCGTGCGATGGGGCCGAATATGTGGCGACGTGTTGTTCAGCTGTGCTACACGTTGGGTTGCCGCATGTTCTTCCTCTTCCCATAACCGTCGCCGCTCCCCGTGCTGAATGTGGAGTCTTTCGTCGACCCCTGCTCCTCGTCGGCTGCCTCCCCTCCACCCTCAGTGGCCATGGTGTCCCCTGCAGCCCCCGCGCCTGCAAGCATCTGAACCCCACCGGCCGCCCCCGTGTCCGCCAAATTTTTCGGGTGGATCGTGTGATCCCCATTCGTCATGGCCTCCATTTCGTCGTACACGCTCTGGTCCATGACGAAGCTGAAGCCCTCCGATCGCCTGGCTTTGATGCAAGCTTGAAGTAGTCTTTCCCGCCGGAAAGGTTCTGGAACTTGTGGACCTTTTTGAATTGCTGCATCAAGTTGTCCCATTTCTTCCTGCAGTCGACGACCTCCCTCGTCACGCCCATCGACTGCAACCTTGCCCTCATGTCCTCCCACTTCCACTCCCTCGTTTTCATGCGGGCGAAACTGGTGCCCATGCTGGCGATATACAGATTTTGATCCCTTTTTGCCCTGACGAGTGCGATCGTGTCTCCCACCGACCAGAAATTTCGGTCGCCCTCGCCATCGCTCCGGCTCGTGTCGTCATCCATTTTCTTGCTCCGTCGAGTTTTCGTAGCGGGACCCTTCCTCGCAGTCGCTCCCCCGTTCGTCACCTTCCTCCCCAACGGCCTAATGTCTGGCAAATCGTCGGAGTTGCAATCGTCGGAGTTGCAATCGTCGGAGTTGCAATCGTCGGAGTTGCAATCGTCGTCGCGTCAACGTCGTCACACCCCTGGGCCTCCTCAACAGCAGCTTCGTCCCCTTCGTCCATGTGGAGTCGTTGCACCCCTATCGTGATTGTCCCCGTTCCACGTTGATGCAAGGCCTGCCTGCACTCTGCCCACAACTGCCTGCCGTCGCGGTGCACGTCCGCACCTTCCTCACGCAAATCCTCCGGCCGCTACCGTCCAGGAGGAGCGCCGGATCTGCTTCGCGACGCAGGTGACAACCGCATCCACTCCGGACGTTCACGCGCACCGACTCCTCCGCTGACGGTCGACGTCGACTCATTCCGATTACCACCACCTTCACGAAGCGATTGAGGCAGACCGCCGTCTCGCGGCCCGCACACACCACCGTGCGCGTTGTCCGCGCAATCCACACCCGGGTGGGGATTGATGATCCGAGTGTGCGTTGCCACTGCTCCGCTGCTGCTGGACAACTGGAAGCTAAGATCAACCGCTGCATTGCCGTCGTCGTCGCACAGCCCCTCGTTCAGCAGTGACGTGTAAGACCACGGGGTCTCCACCTGCCTGCCGCTGCACGACTGCGTCGCCGCCCATTCCTGCGTCAACCCACTTCCCAACGGCAAAGTCGACGACCTGGCGTCTCCCCCCTCGTCATCTGATGGCGGCAGAGGAATCTCGTGAGAAGGCAGGTGTGCATACAACCTCTGGTCCTACGGCCGCTTCGCCACAGACCCCGCACTGTGTTGCCAATTGCTCGCTCCGGAGGTTGTGCCTTCCGGTCTGCCGTTGCCCAGTCGTCGATCCATCCTGTCGGCTTTCTTCGAAGAGCTTCTGCTGCGAGCCGCGAGCGGGACGAGGCCGACGAAACACCCGTGGAAGAAGACAACGACGAGAAGCAGCACGGCGGCGAGGACCAGCACAGGCAGCCTGTGCAGCAGGTCGACCATGTAAGGGCCGTTCGAAGGGCTTCAGTGTGACGTCGGCGGTCGACCGTTGAACGAACAAGCCCGTCGACACAAGAAAGATCGGTGAAAGTTATGTGCTCCAACGTGCGAGGCGTGACGGCAATCGAAGAAAACGACGATCTTGTCCAATGAGACTATCGTCGTCAAAAGGGGCGCCGGGTGGGAAAAACATTCGAATTTCGGACCGTTGTCGACGATCGCCGGCCGCAGCGGACCTGACTAGACGCCGGCCGGCATTTTGCGTCGACGGACGGAGGCCTCCCGACGACGGTTACCGTTTGGAGCCGTTGGGGCGCCGTGAAGATTTTGGACGCAGGGATGTCCGTGCTYCGGTTCGCTGGACCACGTCTGGACCACCCTCGAACCGAAATTGTGCGTCAACGCATGCCTACGCCGCTCCAAAATTTGCGCTTCCTTGTGCTCCGAGGGATCTCAGGAGGTCCCTTGGGGTTAAGGAAAAATTGGTTGTGGCCACAAGGACGCCACAAGGAAGTCTCCTTCTGGTATTTTCACTTTTTTTTTTGAGAATCGTTCCCAAGGACAGGTGGAACGATCATTTCCTTGTGGATTTCGGGTCCACAAGGAGTGTCTAACGAGGCCCTAAGCTACATTCTTCTCTCAATTTCACCTCACGCAAATTTTTTTTATTTTTATTTTTTTTTAAACCTTCCCCGTCCAGTGTTAGTGGTGCTGATAAGAGCAAACACCACTAGCACCTGGGGAGAGGCTCCATCTATTGGTGGGGAGCACCACCTGCTGGAAAACGGGTCCAGCGTCCCATATATAGACTGAAATTGGAGTACATCAGGAAAAAGACCACTGATCCTAAAGGGAACCCTGTAGCAGCCAAAACCGTGTTTATGAGAGAACATGTGGGGGCTGCTGCCGACCTGTAGGTGGGCGATACCGGCCAGGGGACAGCCGGCAGTATCAGGTACCATGCCAACAGGACCAACCGCTGTGCCTCCCCTGCGAACATCAGCAGACTCTATTACTCAACGCTGAGCGGGGGATCCAGTGGTCTATCTCTAGGTGGCGGGTGCCAAGCATGCCCAAGAAGGTACGTGAGGCCGATGGATCCCCTCCCCATGAACATCAGCAGACTTGTGGGGGCTGCTTCCGACCTGCAGGTGGGCGATACCGGCCAGGTGACAGCCGGCAGTATCAGGTACCATGCCAACAGGACCAACCCCTGTGCCTCCCCTCCGAACATCAGCAGACTCTGCTGAATGCTGAGCGGGGCTAGGTGGCGGGTGCCAAGCATGCCCAGGAAGGTACGTGAGGCCGATGGGTCCCCTCCCCTACGAACATCATCAAACCAGGGGACAGCCGACAGTATCAGGTACCATGCCAACATGACCAACCCCTGTGCCTCCACTGCGAATATCAGCCGGCAGTATCAGGTACCATGCCAATAGGACCAACCCCTGTGCCTCCCCTGCGAACATCAGCAGTCTCTGCTGAACGCTGAGCGGGGCTAGGTGGCGGGTGCCAAGCATGCCCAGGAAGGTACCTGAGGCCGATGGGTCCCCTCCCCTACGAACATCAGCAAACCAGGGGACAACCGACAGTATCAGGTACCATGCCAACATGACCAACCCCTGTGCCTCCCCTGCGAACATCAGCAGACTGTGTGCTGCTGTGTTCAATGCTGAGTGGGGCTAGGTGGCGGGCGCGAAGCATCCCCAGGAAGGTACGTGAGGCCTCCCCTACGCGCTCAGCTAGGTGGCAGGCGCCAAGCATGCCCAGGAAGGTACGTGAGGCCGATGGGTCCCCTCCCCTACGAACATCAGCAAACCAGGGGACAGCCGGCAGTATCAGGTACC